TTTGGGGGGTGTATTCCAACATCGTTGGTGAGCCTTGGGTTTGCACTGGTCCTCCCCCTCCGCCGTGACTTCGCCCGCCCGCACTTCGGCCTCGCCCGCATTTCGGCGGCGTGCACTCTAAGGGCGTCACGGTCTGGGGTGGGAGGAGCAGGAGTAGCAGCAGCAGCATCGAGACCAACTGCAGACGGAGTGGCGCCTCCTCCTCCTCCTCCTCCTCCTCCTCCTCTTCCTCCTCCTCCTCCTCCTCCTTCTCCTCCTCCTTCTCCTTCTCCTCCTTCCCCCTCTCCTCCTCCTCCTCCTCCTCCTCCTCCTCCTCCTCCTCCTCCTTCCTCCTCTCCTCCTCCTCCTCCTCCTCCTCCTCCTCCTCCTCCTCCTCCTCCTCCTCCTCCTCCTCCTCCTCCTCCTCCTCCTCCTCCTCCTCCTCCTCCTCCCCCCTTCCCCGGCCGGAGGCCGGCCATCGCACGGGCCATGGCCCGCGGCCAAGCGCCCGCGGTCGTGAGCCGTCGGCGCCGCACGGCGCGCGCCGGGCGCGTGCGCGCGTCGGGCGATAAATCGAAGCGTCGGGATCGAGATTCCCCAGGCCCCCTCGCGTTGTGAAGCAATCGCGACGGGAGGTTTTTCGCCAGCCTCGGCCTCCGGGGGTCCCTTGCTGGGCCCTGGGGCCGTCAACAAAAACGATCCAGGATGAAAATCCAGTCCCGGGGAGGGAGTCCGGACCTCTGGGGGTCGACGTTGCAAAAAAAACCCACAACGTCGGGGGTCTGGGTTCGAGCGTCGATGCTCGAGGCTCGAGGATCGAGCTTCGAGGATCGAGGGTTCGCGGTTCTGGGGCGCTTCTGGGCCTCCCGTGGCGCCCTGGCGGCCACGGCGGGATTCCCCTCGCACCGCTGGGCAGAGCGCGCCCTCGGAGAGGGGCGGCGATGGAGCTCCCAGCTCTCCGACGACCCGATTCTTGCCGTCGGGGATTTTTTTTCCTCCTCCGCCTCCTCCTCCTCCTCCTCCTCCTCCTCCGCCTCCTCCTCCTCCTCCTCCTCCTCCTCCTCCGCCTCCTCCTCCTCCTCCTCCTCCTCCTCCTCGGTTTCCTCGGTTTCGCCATGGCTCTCTTGCGTTGCGTAGATCGTGGGCCGTGTGTGGGCGCGGCCACGCAGGTGGCGAGGGTATGTTTCAGGTCCGGCCATCTGGAGAAAAAGATCTTGGGGGGTGGGTGGGTCTGGTGGCCTCCTTCCTTCCGCTATTGTTCCTCGGTTTCGGCTCCTCGGGGGCCGTTTTTTTCGGGCTTCCAGGCCACCGCGGACGGATCCAGGGCGAAGGCAGCTGGTTCTGGAGAGGTGGTCGGGACCCCTCGCGGGCCGCGCACTGGGCCAAAGTCGCCCTGGCGGGTGTCTGGGGAGAGGGGCGGCGACGAAGTTCGAGGGCCTTCGCGATGTTCTTGTGCGTCCTGGGCTTGGCATCGCTCGGAGGTGTGCAGTTTTCCTCCGGCGAGGACCATCGAGGAGCATCCTTGATCATTTGGCGAAAAAACCATTCGAGAACCCGAGAAAAACACAGGGAATGGACGTCCGAGCGATGGCCAGTGGGGCGCCCGTGCGCTTCGAGGATCTCGGGCGCATTCGCAGGTGGTCTCGGGGTGCTTTCCAGCTGCCGCGCCTCTCCGAGAGCGCTGCGGGGTGCCCGGGTCATCCTGGACGGCCGCCCGAGGCCCGAGGTGTGACCCGCAAGCCAGGCGACGAGGATCCGCCAGGTCGGACGAGCGTGGTGGATTTGGCAAGGGGATCACGGAATTTGCTGCGTGCAGTTGGGTTTCGGCCCCGCCGCCCAGGCTCCAGCGCTGCCCTGCTCACCATCGTGACCTCAGTTGCCTGTCATCGCGTTGGGTACGTCAGCGGCGTACTGTAGTACACATAGCATTCGAACAACTGAAACGCCATACATGTCGGTGGTCGGCGCGGATTTCTTGGATCTGCGCTGGATCCCCTTGGCGGCGACGCCAGCGCCGCCCCAGTCGAGCTCCGCGCGCCAGGGAAGGGGTTCTAGCGCCGACCCAAGAAACCCACTCGGACCTCGGACACTTTTTTGTCCGTGTGTATGTATGGATGTCGGTCCGTATGTATGCGTGCATGTATGTACTTATGTATGCATGCACGCATGCATGTATGCATGTACGCATGTATGTATAGATGTCTCTATATGCCTGTCTGCCTGTCTGTACTTTATGTATGCATGCATGTATACCTGTATGTCTGTATATATACGTATATATGTACTTTCGTATACCGACATGCATGTATGCATGTAGCTAAGGGAATACGTAATAATGCGTGCTTGCATGCATGCATGCATGTATGCAGTTATGTATGTATGTATGCCTGTATGTATGTCTGTCTGCCTGTCTGTCTGTATGTCTGTGTGTATGCATGCATCTATGTATGTATGCGTGTGTATACATGTATATATGCATGCACGCATGCACGCAAGCATGCATGCATGCATGCATGCATGCATGCATGCATGTTTGTTTGTTTGTTTGTTTGTTTGTTTGTTTGTTTGTTTGTTTGTTTGTGTGTCTGCAGGTATATATGCATGTATATAGGTATGTGTATACATACATGTATGTATGCATGTATGCGTGCATGCATGCATGCATGCACGCATGCATGCATGTATGCATGCATGCATGCATGCATGCAGGTATGTATGGACGCATGTACGTATGTACGTATGTATTCGCACACATAAATATACAGTTGTCTAAGCATGTTCACTTCTGGCTTCTTTTCGGAGGTGCGCGCGCGTGGACCGTCAGGCTTGTAGCGTGGCTCAGGAAGCAAGTTCTTCGAGGCTTCACTCTTCCCCTGGCCTCCGCCGACTTGATTTTTCCCATCCGTGGCCCCAGGATTCCCGACCCCACTCCCTGCGCGTGGTTCTTCGCCCTGCAGGTCCTTGTCGTATGAACCCAGGGCCCGATCACGGGCCCTGGAGGTCTAAATCGAGAAACATTTCTCGCCCTGCACCTTCCGCGCTTTCCGCACGGAAGGTGCCGCCGCGATGCGGCCTTGGCGGCCGCCGCGGCCGCCGCTGCTGCCTCGACCGTGGCCGCCGCTGCGACCGCAGCGGCGGCCGCGGCAGCGCGGCCTTTGCCGAGCGGAAGATGTGGGAAGTGCATGTCGATGGAACGTCCGGATTGAACAGATCACATCGCCGGAGATCAGGGTCTGTGAGCCAATGCCCGGGGCCGCCGGAAGCCGCGGGCCACCCGCCCGCAGGCGTGCCGCGGCGAGGCCCCGCCCGCCCAGATGACGAGCTGCTCCGCGTGCGGCGCCTCCGGCGCGGAGTTCGCCTGCGGGCGCTGCTTCGCGGCCCGCTATTGCGACCGGCGCTGCCAGCGGGTGGGCTGGGCCAGTCACAGGCCTCTGCGGAGGAGGAGGAGGAGTCCGAGGAGGAGGAGTCCGAGGAGGAAGAGGAGGAGGAGGAGGAGAAGGAGGAGAAGGAGGAGGAGGAGGAGGAGGATGATGCTGATGATGCTGCTGATGATGATGCTGATGATGATGCTGATGGTGATGATGCTGATGATGATGATGATGATGATGCTGATGCTGCTGATGATGATGCTGATTGTGATGATGGTGATGATGCTGCTGATGCTGCTGCTGCTGTTGCTGATGATGATGAGGATTATGATAATGATGATGATGATGATGATGATGATGATGATGATGATGATGATGATGATGATGATGATGATGATGATGATGATGATGATGATGATGATGATGATGATGATGATGATGATGATGATGAGATGATGATGATGATGATGATGATGATGATGATGATGATGATGATGATGATGATGATGATGATGATGATGATGATGATGATGATGCTGATGCCGATGCTGATGATGCTGATGATGATGCTGATGAGGAGGAGGAGGAGGAGGAGGAGGAGGAGGAGGAGGAGGAGGAGGAGGAGGAGGAGGAGGAGGAGGAGGAGGAGAGGAGGAGGGAGGAGGAGGAGGAGGAGGAGGAGGAGGAGGAGGAGGAGGAGGAGGAGGAGGAGGAGGGGAGGGGGAGGAGTGGGAGGCAGAGGAGGCCAGGAGGCGGAGGAGGTGGAGGGAAAGGGGGAGGTGGTGGCCGTCCAGGACGGGGGCCTCCCGAGCCCTCCGAGGAGGCCCGTCCCTTCTGCCTACCCCCTCCGCAGCGCGCCGCCCCAGGCCGCTCTGCGCTCCGGCGGGAGCCCCGCGCCCGGCAGGGCCTTCGGCGACGTCCGCAGACTCGGCGACTACAGTCGGCCCCGCGCAGAGGGGGGTAGGGTCGGACGGGGTGGCCTGGAACCGGCCGGCATCGAACGACCGTCGGATACTCGTAAGAGTGACCCTTCGCAGGAGTGGCCCTTGGGTGCGGGACCCCAGTGGTTTCCCGAGCGCTGGCTTGCGCGCCTGGGTTTGGGTCCCCCGCGGCCCCCCAAAGCCGCGCACCAAAGGCCACCCTTGCCTAGGGTCACTCTTGCGTGTCGCCGAGGCCCGTCGCTATCGTCGGGGGGGCTAGGGCGAGGATAAATCCTCTCCAAAGTGTTCTGGAACGCTCGTAGAGCGTTCCGGAGCGCTCTCCGAGCATTTTCGTTGGGTGGAGGGCAAAGGTTGAAATCTGAGATGCCGCTTCGCCCGAGGCATGGCCACCCGTGAACTTCCCTCCCCCTCTCCCCCGCCCTTTCCTTCTCCGTCTCCTGCTCCCCCGCTTCCGCCTCCACCTCCATCGTTGCCTCTGCCTTCTCTTGCGCCTCCTCCTCCAAGGCTAATATTCCTTTCCTCTGCCTCCCTCCCCCCCCCCCTTCCCTCCCCGCCCCCCCATCATTCTCACCGGCCGCCCGCCCGCGCTAATCGCTAATGGCAGCAGGGGGTTACGCGTCACTTTTCTGGAATCCATGTGCACTCGGGCCTTGACCAGGCTCGCGCCGTCGCTGGCACCTCAATTTTGAGTCGCCCTCTCTCTCAGGCCCCTGTCCCCCGTGTCGCCAGGCTGGAGCGCGATGGCCCCGCAAACGTGCGCGCGCTTTCCTCCGTGGCCCGCTCGGGGCCGCGGGCCCCGCTCGGGGCCACCCCCGCCGCCCTGCGATTGGCCCCCGAATCCCGACCTCCGCCGTTTTTCTCACGCGTCTCCCGCCAAACGGTCGGACGCGGCTTCAGAAAAGCAAAACGAATTCTAGAACGCAACACGAGGTTCTAGCTCCGAGAAGCGAATTCTAGAACAGCATAAGTAGTTCTAGAACGCAAGACCAAATCCTAGAATCTCCCACCGCATAAAGCGTAAACAAAAACAACTTCCAGAACGGCCGACATAGTATTAGAACGACGAAGTGAATTCTAGAACGCAAAACAATGATTCTAGAATTCTGAATTGATCTGTTGGGCACCAGTCGCGTGCTCGTTCACCCGTCGGGTGCCAGTCGCGTGCTCGCACGCTTGCCGCGCGCCAGTCGCGTGCCCGTTCACCTGTCTGGTTCCAGTCGCGTGTTCGGGGGCCCAGAGAGTCAGCCAGCCACCCGGCCAGCCATCCAACCAACCATCCAGCCGAACAGTCATTCCGCCAGC